GTTTTATTTATTCCACATTTTACCTAAAACAACAGTTAATATATATAAATATTTTTTGGTGTACAAGCGTATATTATATAAGAGTAGATTCCACACAAGAAAAAAAAGGGTACGAGAAAAACAAGTTCCTAACTCGTTTTGTAAAGATTAGCACTTGCCCCGAATTTTGACTTCGGGGAATGTTGAGACAGGGTTTATAATGTACACGCAGTACTGTATAACTTGGTTTGCGAGGGAGTGTAGTGACCGAATATTTAGAATGTTAATATTTTACATTTTAGAGCCAAAAAAGGCATTAGTGTTATATACATCAACGTCATTTTACGTCATTTAACAACATTTCTTTCTGTCTTGAGAAGGTGCTCATTGAGGGGTCGAAATCGATTATTTGTACTTGAAACAAATAAACAAACAAACAAAAAGTCAGATAAGTGCATGTTGAAGCTTTGTATTTTCACAGTAATAAAAGATATTCGGTATACTGCAAGGGGGAAGAAACGATTTAGCCGTTCCCTTAATCATGTTACTGAAGGGCAACATAATGGCCCTCGCATTCAACGCCTCTGAAAGACAGGGTATATATGCAACATACGCCTATCATTTCTGTTGTTGTTGTTGTTGTGCGTGTGTAATGTAAAGGATCGTAGCATCCATTTAAGTACAATACGGAAAGAAGCGTGGAACTGCATTTCAGACCTGTTATAACTGAAAGCTTTACTAAACATTACTTATTGTCATTTAGGTGCAAGAAGTATTTCTCCATTCATTGATAAATGGAAGCACCTGCCCACTCTTCCAATGCCTATTCTACACAGAATATTTACGGTGCTGAGAAACATTGCATCTTCAAACATTCGATGGAGCGTACCCACGGAGCGAGAACAATTTCATTGTGATATGCTTAAGGTTTGCGTATAGGGTTAACGTGTTAGAACACAATGAACAATTATTATAAGTGTAGGGTATAACAAATACATACACGTTATCTTCTTTGAGGTGGCCTTTGGTGGGGGTGGGTTGCAGAATCATGCAAATATCATTAACCCTTCAATCATCACCACGTGAATAATAACGATTCTGAATCGGTGGATTTTCTTATTTTTATTTTCAGTCCGCGTTATATTGAATATTACCAACATGGAATCGACATAGTAAAGAGGAGTACAGGTGAGTTTGCCACTAATCCTTAATGGTAGGTAGGATCATAAAGTGAAGACATGTGAAGTTTTATCTTTTAACAATTTTGAATTAATACAATTTGCACTGTTGATACACACAGTATACACCACAAGGCGTTGATATACACCACCGTATTAGTTAAAATAATGATTAATTAAATAAATAATGTTACTAGCCAGAATTCTTTAACGCATGAATCATTATGTAGGTTGTTTAACTTTGGTTACGTATCTGGTGTTTGTGTTATATGCACTGTTATTAAATGTATAGGTATCTAACAATAATGACCCCTGCTACACAATAATGTTTCATCAGTAATGAATGGAACATGAAAGAAAACAACTATTACTCAATTTATATCAGAATGAAATTTCTACAAGCAATTTCTTTTTGTTCATCATTATTCACATATTTAAAAAACAGGGTAGCTCATTCACAATCGTGTTCAACCATGAAGCCCTGTACATAAACAGAGAGAAAGAAAGAAATTAAGGATATACATCAAAAACATGGCCTATCCACATATACACAATGAAGTAAAATTTTAAAAAGTTGGGACATATATACAATAAATCAAGTATCTAGTATCAAGTATCAAGTTTATTTGTCTTTCAGAAAACACATGTGACAAAATATAATAGAGTATAATCATATTACAGTACAATGTAGAATAAAGAAAGACGAGGAGACCTTGGTTGAAGCACAGCTTCTTAAGTTAAGGCCCCCTCATATGGTGTGACAAAGATAACTGATTCATGAATACAACAACAAATATGAAATATATACTATTCACAAAATACTCTCAGAAAACAACTACCCAACGATGCATCGACCACAGCATGGATGACCACAACAAGTATACCCGAATATGCGCACATCCCCATCACACCAGTCGAGCTAACAAACTCACCGGCCCGAATTCACAAAGGAGGTTTGTCGACAAACCTAGGTTTATGTACATCATATAACGCGTTTGGACGCGTTTTTTTACAAGCCAGGGTTTAACCTAAGTTAACTCTAAGTTGGACTTAAATATTATGGAAAGCCATTTGTAGCCTTAAAATGAAATATATTCAAAAGCAAAAATTCAAGTAATTTAGACTTTTTATAAATTCCACATCAAGAACATGAAATCTCCTTGATAATAGAAAATATGAACGATTTTAATTAACATTTCATGCCTTTTAAAATAACCTTTACAAAATATTTTCATAGATGCTAACGGCTTTCCATAATGTCCAACTTAGAGATTAGTTCAACTTGGGATCTTTGTGAAACACCCCCCTGGTTTCTAAAAACGCGTCGAAACGCGTCATATGACGCACGACAACCTAGGTTTGTCGAAAAAACCTCCATTGTGAATTCGGGCCACCGTGTGTGTTAAAATATATGTCATATGAGCACGAACAATCCATCCATGGGAGGGCGATCTAATATGGACAAACCCAAGCTGACACCAAATCGAGACATCAATGAGTTAATGCTCTCTGAGTGTAGAGGTTAAGTAGGAATGTATGGTATATGTACAGATGGGAAATAAGAAGAAAAAGAAGAGGGATCAAGGGGATTATGTCAAAGTCAAGAAATAACGAAAAATAGATCGAGAGTAGAGTTAAATAATTATGCTACAGTACATGATTTAACCTTGAAATCAAGTATTTATCTAAGTTTTCTATAATATCCATATTAATTACACACTCTTAATTCTGATCACGTTGATATCGTGGACTCTTACAAGCCCCTTTTTCGTTCATTTTTTAAATTATATACTTTTTCCTTTCTTCGTAAATTGCATGTTAATACTTACCTCTGCTTGTGTAGGCCTGTGGACGATGTATTTCCCCATTAATTTGATTATCATACCATCCATTGAAATGCTTGAACAAGATTCTTTTTTTTCTATTAGATTTAATATGCATGCACATATCATAATCATGTCCCCAGTTGGTAACCAACCGTATAATCACGGTGATTTTACCAGATTTTGGGGTTTGAGGCCGTCGTGTTGAATCAAGTGAAACATGGATGGTGTGTATTATGTACCATTCCCCCCAAAACATCTACCCGCTCCCGTGTTGAAATGGTTTCTTTAATCATCTGATCATGGATCTACGTGTGAGACATAAGGCCATGATCTGACAATCAACAGTGAACAATTTAAACATAACAAATATGAAACAATTATGACATTATATTTAGATGAAACATTTATTATGCATAATATAGAAATGTTCCCTCCATTTATCTGCTTGTATACTTATAACATTTGGGGCTTAATGACCATTTTCCTTGTACTGGATACAGCTTTCTAATTTTGAGCCGAGGCATGGGGGTGATTAAAGTTAGATATAATTATGGCAATGCTTAAAACAAATACCGGCATTAGGCCCTATATTAGTCAAACCCCACGTGGTCTTGACTTCATTCATTTATTTATTGAGTAATTTTCACTAACTACCCGATCTTTAGATTTCCCAATCATATTTCAAACTTTTTTTCAGTCGAAGTTGTAGGAGTTAAACAATATCATAACAATATCATCAGTTTATTCTATCATGATTGTCCCGACTACATTTTCTACCATAATATTACATTTCATTTGCATTATCATAGTTTTTATTGTATTACTATCTCATTAGTCACTTCATTTACTCTTTATACCGGCTCATCTTCAGTCTCCTTCCTCTATCACCCCTCCCTACTTTGCTCACTCGATTTTGCCCATTCTACGTGTGAGACATAAGGCCATGATCCGACAATACACAGTCAACAATTTGAACAATAAAAATATGAATCAATTATGAAATTATATTTAGATGAGACATAAATTAAGCATAACTTAGAAATATATCCTCCACTTATCTGCTTTTATACTTTAACATGTAATTTGGTGCTTAATAGCCATCTCCGTGTAGCTTTCTAATTTTGAGCCGATCGAGGCATTGGAGTGATTAAAGTTGAATATAATTATGGCAATGCTTGCACCAAATACCGGTATTATATCAATCGAACCCAACGTGGTCTTGATTTCATTCATTTTTGTATTAATCAATTTACTCTAACTACTGATCTTAAGAATTCCGAAATCGTGTTTCTTCTTGTTTCCGTTGAAGTTGTTGTGGTTAAACAATATCATAAACAATAAAATCAGTCTATTCTATCATGATTTTCCCGACTAAATTTTCTACCATGAATATTACATTTCATTTGCATTATCATAGTTGTGAATGTATTACTATCTCATTACTCACTTCATTTACTCTTTATATACCGGCTCATCTTCAGTCTCCTTCCTTTATCATCTCTCTCTCTCTCTCTCTCTCTCTCCGCTCCCTACTTTTCTCAATCGATTTTTGCCCATTCATTCTTTTTACAACTTAAATATGGCAGGAAATGCTATGCTACTGAGAATACTGATAAAAATACACATAGATGAAGAAGCATTTCAGATTTTCTCATTCCTTCGTGTCAACTCCCCCCCCCCCCAACCCCCGAAAAAATAAAATATGATGTTACTTATGTGTGGTATGTAGTTGTCATAAAAATATCATGACTTTGGACGTTATTTCAATTAAACTCATTGAATATGTTTCGATTAAATAGGCCTCGTCCCTCTATGTGCTATAAATGCTTACGGAGACATCCAAACCGCGATATACGAATTGAAGCAGCTCGGGGTCACTCAAATGTACAAAATACCTTCCCCTCGTGTCATTCGCTCAGATGAGGGTGACTTGCAGTGGCTTGACCTTCTACGTGGATTCCTTTATGAAGGTGACAGAACAATATCTAACAAAGCGAGGCGCTCATTGGTAGCAGAAATGACGAGAAAACTTGAGTCTAAGCAACAACGCGTAGACACTTTGACCGAAATCGTAGGAGAAAAAGAGCGGATTGAGGCGACTCTAAAACTACAAGTTCAGGAGCTAAAGAAAGGAAGAGAGGAAGACGGAGCAAGGTCTGAGAAAGAGAGGCGCTCATTGGAAGAAGATATGACGAAGAAAGTCGAGTCTAAGCAACAGCATGTAGACACTTTGACGGAAACCGTTAGGGAGACAGAGCGAAATGAGACGACTCTAACACAACAAGTTGAGGAGTTAAAGAAAGGAAGAGAGGAAGACAGAGCAAGATCTGAGAAAGAGAAGCGCTCATTGGCAGCAGATATGACGAAGAAACTTGAGTCTCAGCTACAACATGTAGACACTTTGACAGAAATCGTAGGGGAGAAAGAGCGTAATGAGACGACTCTAACACAACAAGTTGAGGAGCTAAAGAGAGGAAGAGAGGAAGACAGAGTAAAAGCTGAAAAAGACAGAGGAAGATCTGAGGAAGCAAAGCGCTCATTGGCAGAAGAAATGAGGAAGAAACTCGATTCTAAGCAACAGCATGTAAACACTTTGACAGAAACCGTAGGGAACAAAGAGCGAAATGAGACGACGCTGATACAACAAGTTAAAGAGTTAGAGAAAGGAAGAAAGCAAGACAGAGCAAGATCTGAGAAAGAGAAGCGCTCATTGGCAGCAGATATGACGAAGAAACTCGACTCTCAGCAACAGCGCGTAGACACTTTGATAGAAACCGTAAGGGAGAAAGAACGAAATGAGACGACTCTAAGACAGCAAGTTGAAGAGCTAAAGAAGGAGCATGACTATAAGGAACAGCTTTTGGAGCAACTTGAGCGTGAGACCTGGAAGCTGAGAACCAAAATTCAACTAGAAAGTGAGATGCGATCAGCAGAGCAGAAGAAGAAAGCAGAGACACATCAATGGAGTTTCATTCCTTGGGTGACCTCTGGGAAACAAGCTCAGGGTGGTAAGACTTAATTTTCCAATCTCATTTTCCCTTTCCAACTCCTATTTTGATATCTACAATATGCTACATTACTCCTATTCCATTTATGGTTACTTGTTAAGATATTGATAATGTGAAGCTTATCAAGTCTAACATGGTCCTCAATCTAAATTGATATATGTCTTGTTTGTTTTAGTTGTCATTATGCCAAAAATAACAACATTCAATTATATTATCCAAGGACACTAGAGCTTACATGCTTGTGCATTATTTATACTTTACAAGTTAAAATAACACATAGAGATACATTGAACGATAAAGATCAGTAAAAATATTTCTCTTTTTTTTGTCTTCATTCAAACTTACTTCATTCCGTCATGACAGGCACATCATCTTTTGAGGATAATTCAACCGGAGGACTGGGAAGGAGTCATATATTACAAGCAGGGTGAGATGAAATATATATATTCTTTACATGACAATGAACGCATTATTGATCTTATAGTGACAAAACTTATATGGAATGTACTTTTGTGAGTAAAATGAGTGAAGCTAGACTGTCAATAACGGTTTTAAAAGTACGACAGCACTTATGTTCTATGAATAAAAAATCATGACCACCTGTGATTATGTAGAAGCAGAAGTGAATACAAGATTACAACTCATTAACAAAAAATAATTATCTTAGCTGCATTCTTGTCTATGGTGATTAGAGTTAAAAGTAAAATCCTTTTATGAATTGATATCAATAATTTGAGCATGTTGAGTATGGTCTCATCACTGGAAGAACGTATTTTCCCCTTTCTATCTTCACCTAAGTAAAGATTTTACTTTACTTTTTAAGTGTATACGTCATACAAACGTTCTCTGACCACCCCAAGTTTTTTTGTTTTTTTGTTTACCGTGTACCATTCTAGAGAGGAGCCCCCAGATGATGAGTTTGCAGGTATATTACAGCAGATAGCTGACGATCTTTACGATGAAGCCAAGATCGACAGCCTTGCTGGTCAGCTGGGAATCCTACATGGTGATATACAGAGAGCGCTCATGACCAATATGAGGTTCGGCCGTGTTACTAGTGATGGAACTCGCCATATGCTGAAACAATGGAGAAGAGGTGTATCTAGGGAAGATGAACGGATTGAGCTAAAGAAGGCACTGGAAGCTGCCAAGTTGGTCAACCTTGCAGACCTGTATCTCAGCGAAGGTAACGTATTTTTTTTCATTAAGAACAATTGTAATTTCGTAATAAGGACCCCATTCGACACTTTAGCAACATGCTGTTATATTTGGTGTACAATACAGCCCATGTGTTTAAAGTCAGATTGGTAGTATTTTTTGAAGCAAGTTAATTTCCCACATTTATACTGATGATATATTAATACTAAGGTGACGTAAGGCAGAGAAAATAAAGTAAAAGAGAGCCTAGATTTTACTTTCAGTTAGCATGTTCCTCACCATAGCTGTACACACGATAAAGCCAAACAGATGCTGACTAGGAACGTCAAAATCGTTTCTACAGCCTGGTTATCATAACAATAGACGGAATTTGAAATTCTCTGCTATAAGTTCTACACAATCATGACAATTCCGATTCGATGTGTTTTGAGAAGAAGAACAAAAATTGTTTTCTTTCTTGCTGCCGGTCAGGTGTAGAAGAAAAACATATCGATTTGGAGTATGCCAGCGAAGACGTCAATGATCAGCAGCCCTCTAATAGAGATGAAACCTCTCTAGAACAGGACCGGACCAAAGGACACACTGACATCCAGGTACTCCAGGAAGCTACAGCGAGCAGTAACCATACTCCTCGAGATGGGCATTCCGGAGACACGGCTACCAAAACCCAGGAAGACTTGACAGATGGAAGTAGGAGTCAACATCTTGAACAATCACCGGAGCGCAGTACAGAGGACTTGGATGAATCTAAAGTGACTTCTGAAGAAGTGTCCTCAGAAGAGGTTCATCCTGGAGATGATATGAACAACGTTAGTAGCATTCAACCTTCCGAACAATCGCACAGCCAGGAGATGCAAGTCCTACCTGAATACATGTCTGAGGTAGCCCCTCTTGTATCTTATGGTGGGAAACCCAACGAGGAATCCGCCACCTTGGGTAAAAACCATTTTGGCGGAATCATAAGTAACGAAGAAGATCTGATTTCTCAACTCGTTCTTACTGATACATCCCCAGAGAAAATATTGCTAATTTTCCTGGTAAAGATAGTAATGGATGCTTCCCAGAAAGCATTCAGTTTATAAGGAATCACCAGATAATCTTCGTCATGTCAGGTTTACTTACATTATTTTAGCTTAGGATGTTTTAGGTCCACTCCGGGACCCTTCATCAGGATGACTGGTCTTTAGCACCAAATAATTGTTGACCCATGAACACGGTGACGTGGTCGAGGAACGTCATCATGGTCGGCCTGATGAAGCGTCTGTGGACATGAGACGTCGCAGGCGAGAAAAAATAAATCCAGTTGACTTTTTTTTGTATACACTATCTACTGCCGGGGTGGTTAAAAAGAGTAATATACATAACCTTTATGACCATTAAGTACACCATATTGCATCCAAACACCGCATAAATAATTTCAAAAATGTGAATTGTTGAAATATTACAAGTATAGCATGCAGAGCGTGATGTTTTTAATGTAGATTTTAATTTTCTTTTTGGCAAGATAACTGGATATAGAAGTTAAATCAAATCTAGTAGTTATACAAGAGTCTATTATTAAAACCGGAGCAATTTTAATTTATTCTTGTATTTTAATCTGTCAACAAATATTAGGTTTGATCAATCCTATAATATTAGTCTTTTAAATTTCATTGTATATTTTAAAGGAAATCTGTATATGTATCAGAAGAATCGAACCATTTCCATTAAAAAAGCTGCAACGCTCGTTGTTATTTATGTATCTACCGCCATTTTGAAATAGATCAGTAAATATACGAATACATGAAACAATAACGAAGTCAATGAATGAATAATGAATATGAAATAATAAATAACTTAAATAAAGAGTATAAACATTGATTGTATAATACACAACACTATGTACATAAGTATATCCATCACAGTTTCTTTAGAGTTTTGTTTGTCTCCGTTTGCATTTATTTGTCCACGTGCGTGTATAGCTAGACGTACTAAACATATCTGTTTATTAAGGCTGGTTAGTTGTCATTCGGGCCATTTTCAGTTTGTCCAACCTTGTCTATGCATATATAACCTGTTTCTGTTCCTGTATTCGGTCTCATCTAATCTTGGTCTTTGATGCGCCTGGTATACTTGTCAGTTTACAGGTGTCTGTTAGAAATATTATTGATTTGTTCTACATTTGTTTGTGGCCACATACACAATTTATTGTCCGCAAAGTATAACATATAGTTTTTTTCTAATGTAACAACTTGGGATGGTAAGCAGTAAATAGCGTTATTCTAAATTACGTAGTCGATGGCATTTAAACTACATGGAAATTTGACGACTAGACCACATGGACAGTCTTTTATGGAACGAATTATAGGCCAATAGATGTTACACAATAAAGATATGAAAGATTAGACGAATCGATCAACAAAGGAAATAGATGACCTACATTCATTTAAAATGAATAGGCGTTGCACCTAAAATTGCATATAACAAAGAACAAAAATGCATATTTAAATTCTTCGAATTGGAAATATGACAAGATATAGTTTAATAATTCGGACCGAACTGTCTTGCCATGTGTGCTTGCGTGTATGTGCGTGCGCGTGTGCGTGTGTGTGTATGCGTGTGAGTGCGTCCGTGTTAGCTGAGCATGTGACTTTCAGTAAGACTGAGTGACTCGATTTCCTCTCATGTTGGTGATGCCGTAAAACTAATGTATACAACACTGTTTATATGAAACACAGATCTCGATTTTTGTTTAGATTGTTGCTTAACCAGATCTAAAACCAAAAAAAATGACCTGTTACTGTTTTTTAAATGTTTTGAATGCATGTAAAACTAAAAGAAAATAAGAAAAAAAGAGAGAGAGAGAGAGATTTTTTGTAATTATATCATTATATCAAGAGCATCTCTTCTAAAACCTATTATACCGTGGTGGAAGCATACTACGTACCTACCATTATGACATTGTATTGCTGTATATTATTTGCTATATGTTTTCCTATGATATATAATAGTGTTCTTTGTAATTGTTGGGATTATAATTCTGATTTCATCCATTTCATCTTTTCAAATGTTATATGTTTAATTTTATGTCGTTGTCCATAGTACCGTGTTTGATATTCCGACCTTACTGTTCCTAAAAATAATATTGTTTAAATGTTTAGTTTAAACGGAAAAATACACAGATTACATAAGAAGACTTACTTAGACATGGTGTAAATGTAAGCCAATATGGGGAAAACATATTACCAGTTGGCTTATTACCAGCAGAACCTCATTTGGCTGTACATAGATGTAGTCATACACTGCAAATATTCACAATGAAAAGAACTTCCGTAAGTTCTTGATATGTTAAAAAAAAATAGATGAACATATATTTCTATGCGCTTGTTACATCAATCGTTAGTACTGTGTATAAACAGAAATGCTCTTCGCATTGAATGTAACTAAACAATAATCGTATGTACAGTATGCAGACCTATCTGTGGGAAAATATTATATGAGCTTTAAGCTGGCATCCTATTCAAATCAAGCAACTCTTGTGTTTTGTGTATCCTCAAAATTGCAAATTTATGTTTTTTTCTGTATAGCACTTGGCAAATTTAGTTGAACCTAGAAATGATAATTTTATATTTTAAGTCATATACACTTGTCATCATGTATATTACAATGGCGGGGAAAATGTATGTAGATGATACTCTGAAAATTATGCAAGAAATAAAGTGACAAAACTTTTTTTCTTCTTGCGAATATGTAAGCTACTTATACCATTTTTTTGTCTTCCTCAACAGATTACTAATGTGTGTTTCTCTACCAGATCGTTCATCAGCTTAATATAATTTTACTTGCAAGAGAATCAAAGAGTTTGCAACAAAATGTTTAATAAATTATTGGAATATACGTCTGGCATTGATATCTCTCTCATGTGTAAAGTGTTTTCGAAAGTTAATCAAGGTGGGGGGAGGGTATAATTATTATACAGTCAAAATGTAACACATTGTCATAAACGGGTACAGGCAAGTATTTAACACCAGAGGGACGGGACATAGATTTCACCCTCGCCTTTAACATTGGTTAGTGTAGATTATGCAGGTTAGAAGGGGGAGAGGGGATTACACTTCCATGATGATACATGTAACAGAGAGGAGCATTTGCGAGAGAGAGTTTTTGTGTGTATTGAAGAGAGAAGTATTTACAAAGAGGGAGAGGGAACTGGAGAGAGAAATGTAGAGAGATGTAAGAGGGGGAGAGAGAGTACGGAAGAAAGAACTAAAGAGGGGAGAGAAAGGGAAAGATATTTAGGGAACATGAATGCGGTCCCTCCGTTCCCGGAGTAGGTGAGGGGGCAGTGCTTGAATAATTATAAACAGTGGCCAAGCTACGTGGGAGCACAGAACACGTGCCCAGAAATGGTGATTAGTGCATGGTCAAAATGAAGAGAAGTAAACGGAGAATAAAAATGGGAGATAGAAAATTGGTAACGTGAACTGGTGAAATATGATGATACAACCCTTTCCACAGGCGATATTTACTGTATAATTCCTGTACTGAGTGGAAGAGAACGGAATATTAGAGTAAAGGAGGATAATGAGGGTGAGGGGGCAGACAGCGACACAGAGACAAGGAGGCATGGTAAGAAAGAGAGAGAAGAAAGAAACAATTAAAGGTAAAGACCAGTTTTGGAAACGCCTCCTTCTCAAAAAAATGAAATGGAAGCTCGTATTACCAATCATGTGAAAGAATATGTTTTGACTAATACGTGATGATACAAATTTTGCCGGAAAACCGCCTACTAATTGATATATTTTGTAAATTATTATATCTATCTGGACTGGATAGATATAGGGTAGTCCCATATACATGTTTCTGTGGACAGTGCTTGTAACTTTACCAAGACTGGGCCAAATTTCTTATCATTTTGATGATTCCAGAACCTTGCAGTACACACCAATACTTATATGCTAGATGGAGGAGCATTAGTTTACTGTTCTACACCTGTTCCCCCTTCCCCTATGATACCAGTGCCCTCCCCCTACCAATGCACGGATCCACCATACCCCACTGTTTACGAGTGTGCTGACCTATTGAACACACTGATGAAAGAACATACCCCCCTCGGGCTCATCCTCACCAACACATACATTATGACATTTATTCGCTCTACGTTCTGCACTTCAACATGCCGACATGTAGAATCTTCGGAAAAAACGATCGCAATTATTTTCGAAAAGTCAACAGATCAACTCAAGAGCAGTTTTAGTACTCTATTGAATGCCCGATCGAAATCATATTCCAACTACATGTACGTAATACCTCATTGTTATGTTCACACATTTAAATTGCTTTAGGTTGAATTTCCGAAAATAGTTGGTACCATGTTTGAATTATATGTTATTTGTTTAACAGTGAACGTGCCGACATAGAATCTTCAGAAAGCACGCACGTACCTATTTTCGAAAAGTCAAGAGCAATTTCGGTACTCTATTGTATGCCCGATAGAAATCATGTTCTGATTACGTAATACCTCATTGTTATGTTCACACATTTCAATAGGTGATGAACAAGGCTAATTTAAATTTCGTTAAATTGATTTTACGAAAATAGTTGCTACCGTGTTTCAATTACATGTATATGTTATTTGTTTAACAGTGAACGTGCCGACATAGAATCCTCAGAAAGCACGCTCGTAACTATTTTCGAAAAGTCAACTGATCAAGGAAAGGGCAATTTAGTACTGTATTGTATGCCCGCTAGAAATCATGTTCTGATTACGTTTTTAATACCTCATTGTTATGTTCGTACATTCAAAAAGGTGACGCACAAAGCTAATCTAAATTATTCTAGGTTGATTTTCCACACATCCACACTGGACATCCGAGGGGGTAGTTTTTCGAGGGGTAGTTGTCTGGGGTAGTTGTTCGAGTTGTAGTTGCCCGGGGATAGTTGTCGTAGGGGGTAGT